TAAACTAGCCTAAAGAGGTTGGATTTTTATTCCTGAAATGAGGGGTTTATTTCCCTATCATCAGTCACACCCAGAGAAAGATGGAGACCATTTTGGCCGGGTTAGCATGTAAACACAACACATTAGGATCAAACTTGTTTTCATCCTGTTTCGGCAAAATAATTGAGTAGTTTTGGCTTTAATATTTAAAGTCTAAAAGTATTTGTACTGGTTCAGTAGATGATGATGATTCAGATGACCAGTGATGTTTATCTAAGTGGGGTTACGGAACATTTTTAGGACAGAAAAAGCTTTCTAAAGCGAGTTTGAATTAAATGATACATCAAAGATACATGATAACAACAAATATTGATCAATTATAATTATTTCTTCCACTTTTTGGGATATTTTCTTTAATTAATCAAATGTTTAAAAGTTTGAAACTGAGAAAAAATCTCTCCTTTCTGGTCTGATCATGAGATACCTTTGAACTTCAGAAGGCTAGTTAAACACATAATATGGAGTTCAGTTATTCAAATCGCTCACACCTGATATTTTCCATTTTTGAAGTTTGTTTTTTCCGATGTGGTCTGTCTCTAGGAATCTTTTATTTCCAACCAGCGATGTGACATATCATTAAAGCTGGCTGTAGTGAAATGTGAAATGAATAAGCTATATGGTCGGCTTGTGTTATTGTTTGTTTTAAAAGATGCTGCCATCCTGCCCCTAAGGAGGAGCCATGGTGACCATGGAATTCTGGGCCTGTGTATCCCAAGCTTGTTAGAACCATTTCAGATAGTAACCTCTTCTAGAATCCATGTAGTAGGAGTCTTAACTTAAAGACAATTATTGAAGACCAACCACAGAGCAACCATAAGCGAGGAAAATAAATAAACTCTCATCAAGGGAAGGACATTGGATTTAGCTGGTCGCTATGTTTCAAACCTGTTTTTGACAACAGTGATTATGTTTTTAAAAATAAAAAGCACACTGAAACATTCATGTAAAAACTCTCCTAAAGAGGTTAGATTTTGCTTCCTGAAATTAGGGGTGTATTTCCCTATAATCTGTCACAGCCAGAGAAAGATGGAGACCATTTTGGCCAGGTTAGTACGGAAACACAACACATTAGGATCAAATTTTGTCTCATCCTGTTTGGACAAAATAAATGAGTAGTTTGGGCCTTTATATTTAAAAATCTAAAAGTATTTGTACTGGTTCAGTAGAAAATGATGATTTAGCAGACCAGTGATGTTTATCTGATTGGGTTGAAAAAACATTTTACGGGCTAGAAAAGGTTTCTAAAGAAAGTTTATATTGAATGATACATTAAAGATATATGTTAACAACAAATATTGATCAATTATCATTATTTCTTCCACTTTTTGGGATATTTTCTTTAATGAATCCAATGTTTAAAAGTACTAAACTGGTAAATTCTTTGCTTTCTGGTCTGATCATGAGAGAACTTTAAACTTAAGAAGGCTGTTTAAACACATAATATGGAGTTAAGGTATTTAAATTGCTCACACCTGATATTTTCCATTTTGTAAGTTTGTTGTTTCAATTCGGTCAGTCTCTGGGAGTCTTTTATTTCCTACCAGCGATGTGACATACTGTATCCTCAAAACCGGCTGTAGTGAAATGTGAATGGATAAAGCTATATGGTCCACTTGTGTTATTGTTTGTTTTAAAAGATGCTGCCATCCTGCCCCTAAGGAGGAGCAATGGTGACCATGGAATTCTGGGCCTGTGTTCCCCAAGCTTCTTAGAACCATTTCAGATAGTAACTTTTCCAAAAATCAATTAATAATAGGAGTCTTAACTTCAAGAATATTATTGAGGAACAACCACAGAGCAACTCTTAGTGAGGAAAATAAATCAAATCTAATTAAGGGAAGGACATGGGATTTAGCTGGTCGCTATGTGTCAAACATGTT